TGTAAAATCATATACATCACAATTCAAGTGTCTTCACATTTCTACATATTTAGGGTGAAAACAACAAAATATTTGGGAAGAGGAAAAGCTGAAGTGCTGGATCTGCACTTTTTTGAGTTTAGCACATAGTCACAAAGGCTTGCAGACAGGCACATGTCCTTGGAGAGGGGAGAGGGCTGAGTAATCACTGATAATTAATTTCAAGTTCTATGTCCAATAATTCAAAATATCTGTACAGATGTCATGTATTCAGTAAGTAATAGAAAATTTCTGCTTTGCTGAATTAAGAATATATTATTTTACACAATGACAAATTCTAATTAACAGCAAAAATACTGCACAGACACTAACTGGTCTTTAATCCCCTATCAAAGAGATGCTGGAAAAGCCCATTTCATGCCAAAAAAAATCTATCCTCTTTAGGTAACCACCATGAAAATGCCACATGAAGTTCAGCAGGAATTGGGCAGCTTAGATGTTTATACATTTATTGGCAATTAGGTTTCTTTCCTTTTATTCCTTTTTACATAGGGAATTTTTTCCCCTTAAGTTGCTAAGAAACACTAATGACTGGGCACCTACGAAAAACAAAAGATGTGGCCAAGCTCAGGGGAGGAGGGCATCTGGCTGCACTTCTCTTATCTGGGAGTTTCTCTCCAAGGGGGAGATACCACAGGGACTGGGCAGGTAAAGGGGCTGGGGCAGCTGCCAGCTCGCGCTCTCTCTCTGTTTCAGAGGTCGGAGCTGCTGTCTGGGGAAGGGAATTCACTGCTGCCACCAGAGCCCAGCCCGGAGCTGTTGCTTCTGCTGCGGGGTGAGCCTCTGCTTGTGGGAGCAGCCACTAAACTGGGACCTTCTGAACACCCACCTCACCAAAAGAGGGACCTACCCCTGTCTGCTCCGGCGCCCGGGATCCTGAACCCGCCTCTCCCTGCCCTGCTGGGGCCGGGTCGCTGCTGCCCCACCCCTGCTGCTTCTTCAGCACTGCTCTGAGCTTTCGCTGTGCTGCAGCCCTGCACTCCTGCCTGCTGAGACATCTTGCCATTCCAGCTTGCTGCTTCCCAGAGTCCTGCTGGGGTTTGTGAAGCGAAGCCTCTCCTCCATCCCCTCCGTCCCGGACAAAGCCGCCATTGCCGCGCGCTGCCCGAGCCCGCCCGCAGCGCCCCCTGCAGCCGCGGGGGCAGCGCCACACCTGCCCCGCCGGCCGGGAGCCAGCAGCGCCCCTGCTGGCCGTGCCCGGAACTGCACCGCAGGGAAAGCGCCGCGGTCCAAAGGCCGGGGCTGGGCTCCGGCTCTGCTCGGGGCCGATGCCGGAGCTGGTGGTGTTGTTTGTGTGCCTTGCTGGACATACTAGCAAAGAACTGCAATTCCTGTTCTCATATCTTTGCCTGAGAGCCCTTTAATTTCAAAATTATAATAATTGGGAAGGAAGTGGTTTATATTTTCCATTCCAAGGGAGGCTCCTGCCTTCCTTAGCAGACACCTGTCTTTCAAACCGAGACATTATAATTATTTTTAGAGATGGTGTTGCAAATATTATGCAATTCTCTCAAAATAAAAAAGAAAGTGAATTCTCAAAAATTCTTTTTTTCATGCTTAATTAGGTGCACGCACTTTTGTAAGTATTTCTCCACGAACAAGCGATCTGCCTGCATAATCACACTTCCTGTATGGTTGCAGTTCATTATCACAATTTCTCTGTACCTGAAACCCCATTAACCTCTCAGCCTTGCTGTGCCACTACAGCTACAATCCTTGTGTTTGGATCTTTAGAACACAAAGACTCCAGTGTCGGTGATCTACATCAGAAATAACTTAATTTATAGGCAATTTCCAAGTCACTTTGACCAATA